CCTGGCAGCCAGAAGCCACTCCATGAACAATGCCATATTTTCGTCATGCAAGCCATTCTCATCAACTTCTAGTGATTCACGAATTAAAAATTTCGACTTCGAAGCTACTGATCCCGTCTAATCTTGAGCCGCAAAGGCAAGACGCGATCAATCGAATCATCACTGTGCCGAATTTTGGCCAAATGTGTAATCTGCATCCGGAACGACAATGGCTAGAGAGTCTTCAAATATCGTGATCCATGTATTCCTAGCGAGATTGAGGCCGCACATCTCGACCAGCATCGTTATCCCCCTTGAGGATGCCAGGATGCGTCCAGAAAAGCAATATTTGACCAGCCTCGTACCTCCCACCAGGGAGGAGCCAACCTATACGAACGCGCATGCGGCACTATAGGGCACACATATCTCTCGTATAGTCTGCTGATCCCACGGAGCAATCAATCCACCGGGATGCGCCTCGGCTCAAATGCCTCGGATACAGATGCAGGGTAGTAAGCGCGTTAGCATTCACACCTCACGCCCGCGACTCGCTGTGTACAACGCTAGTGTACGTCACCGCTCTGCGGATGTACCTGAAGGGGGAACAGGCAGCTATGTCTATCGTCAATGCCTGTCACCTCGAAGATAATAGGCATCGCGAAGGGGTGTTAATAATAACAACCTCAGCTGAGCTCTCAGCGGCAAGGATGACTAGGATCGCCGGATTATTCAATATTAAGTCCGAATCAACCAGTTGTATGCTACAGAAAGCTCCAAGCCCAATGAATAATGAATTTTTAGCTCAGGGTGGAAAGTGGCGAAATCATTGATGTTGGGTCCTTTTTTTGGTATGAGGCCGGGAGTCATTCTTGCAGCCGAGCGTGTATGTAGTTGGCAGTCAGCTTGACTTATCTTTCTTTTCAAATTTGAAGATCGCAGTATACATCATCCAAAAAAATACTTTTTTTCGAGTCACTGATGCTGACTATTACCCAAATCCCTGAAAAGTCGCCTCCCTTAGAACCATGGTGTTGCCCCCCCCCCCCATACACTATCTCTTGATACGTTCCCAGTTGCCGGGTGCATTTCTTCAAGCATAAAAACCCATTCAAGCCCACTCTAACATGTTGAAATAAATCCGTTTTCCTTTTCAACATCATCATTCTGTACCTTGCGACCTCTCATGATGCCTCTGCAGTTGAAGTTCCAGACCCCATTCGACGGTGCCGCCTACCACAACGCGAAAGTGAAGGACAAGAAAGCCAAAGATGATTTCAAGAAAATTCATCAGGTCGACCACTCAAGCAACTCGGCATGGGCAATTACGACCGACATTCATCAGTCGACTCCAGTAAAAACGCCTTCTGAACTCATTGTGGAGGACGCATCGACAGGGCAACCAGAACCGACCGATCTTGAGCCGTTAGTGACGATTAGAATGCAGGAATCAGGTGCGCCACTATTTCTGTTAGTTGAACGAGGGGGCTAACATCGAACAGGCACAGGCACAGGCACAGGAGCGGATAGAACAGGCAGCACGGATGGCGAGATAATCGCGGGTGCTCATCGCTCGCTTCACGTCGAAAACGATAAAGCCGATGCTAGCGTAAGCGAACGATCCGATGAAGTAGTATCATATGGCTTAGATAGCGCGCCGTACAAAACGAGCAATACTTCCTTTGAGGCTACTCCCAGCTTGCCATCATTGGTCCAATACGGTGATGATGATGGCAGATCATCCCTGAACCAAGAGACGGACCTGACTGACGCATTTGACAATGAAACGGCTGGCGAGTGGGGAGTTGTGGAAATTCTTGGAGAAGAACTCAGAAATGGCGAGGTCTACTATCGGGTAAGATGGGAGGACACCTGGGAGCCCAAGACGAACTTATTTCACTCGCCCGATGTAGTCAGGAGATGGCGCGACAAGGTTAACACGCTGAGAAACGGGCCGGGACAAAATTCGGCCGGTAGGAAGCAAAGGACCAGTGGCAACAGTGTGCGGGAGAGAAAGGCAACGGGACGCGCTCGAGAGATTCGAGAGAGCACGGTTTCAGAGTGACTACAGAATTTCTCGATCATACAGTATAGTAAAACCCCTTTTGATACTGTACAGTACAGTACAGTACAGTATCACGTCTGGAATCCAATGTCATTTACTCTCATATCGACATTGACAGTCACAAACTCCTTTACCACGTCATATGTGACATATGGGTGCCCGTTGTGTAGCAGGCAGTGGGGTCTGATCACGCCGCGCAGATAAGTCACGGCCTGTTGCGCCTAGAGAGGGCTTGTCAGGTTGGGAGGGTCACAAGTGGAGTGAGTAGGTATATGTAGCGGCAGCGCAGCGAAGACGCTTGTGTTGCAATGTCCGAGGTCTGCTTCGTTACACGGGGCCCCTTCCTCCCCTTCCTTGTGCCTGCAAGTAGAAAATTGCAGGGAGGTCCATCCTTTCATGAGCCTGATCAAGAAATGGCTTCCATGATCCTGATTTGCCAGAGGCCCGGCTGATGGCACATATTTCCACGACAGATTCTCTTTACAGGTCTTTCTCGTTCTATCGCCCGAACCTCTGCTTGTAGAATGACCTAACCTCATCATTCCCGCCTAAACCCATCTCCAGCCCTCTGGCATCGCCCAAGATCTGGAGGCCGCGCAGGCTCGTGGCCCGCGACAGCGCAACGTATACCTGACCATCGGTAAATGCCCTCGACACATCGACCTTGACCTTGTCCAGCGTCATGCCCTGTGCTCTGTGAACGGTCATGGCCCAGGCCGGTGTAAGGGGTATCTGTGTGCGACACAACAGTGAGTAGGGCTTGTCGTCACCCAGCTCGTTGACCTGGCACATGGCTCGGATATCGCGCTTGATACCGTTGCTGAAGCGAACTATGGGCCAGATTGGCTCGTCGACGTTCTTCTCGTACGCTATTATCTCGAGCTCTTTGAGCAGAGCGTGGTCACAGGAGCCTTGGAATAGCGTTTCTACCCTCCTGTTGGGCATTTTCCATCCGACAATGACGCCCTGGCTGCCATTGCAAAGTCCTCGGTTCAGGTCGAGGTTGGCCAGCAGCACGACCGGCATTCCGCATTTGAGCTCCACACGACGGTCCATGGAATGTTCGTCGAGGGACTTTAATGATCCATCTGCGTGCTTCTCGCCTCTTTTCTCCAGATGTGGATGCATTTTCCTGTTCCAGACAAAGGTGTCACGGCACTGGAACGAATACGACTCTGTGGCCAGCTTCCCAAATTCCCTCTCATTCACAAGGCGAACTTCCTCCCGCGTCGAGTAGAGGAATATTCGGGCCCCGACAACCACCCGAGCCGTTCGTCCACGCGCCACCGCATCCAAATTATTGGTTGGTGAAGATGACCGATGTACGTGTTGATCCTGCCGTGAAACCCAACTGTCGGCCAATGAGGACATGAGATTTACAGTCCGGTGTCCGTGTCAATAATGATGCAGTTTTGCCCACTCATCAGAGGATTTCACGCGCAAACATCTCCCGAGTAGCGAATCAGATATCGTATCGACAGACAGTAGCCCGATGGAATACAATTGGTTGAGTTCAGGTCCATAATGAGCCACGGAAAACGTAGCCTGTGTGAACAGCTCGCCAAGGTCGTGACCAAATATCGAATTCTCGTTCTAGTTCGACTTGGACAACATTTATGATTTGTTGCTTCAAAATTCGGGTGCAGCGCTTATAAGTCTGACTGATCGACTAACTCAGTAGCGGTTGTCGTTATTTGCTTTCATGAAAATGAACGCACTAATGACGAACGAAATGAAGCATCAAGCCGGTTGATTGCTGCTTACCAATCAGCATTGAGCTCGGCCGGCTCACCGACATCCAACTCTGATGTATTGCCTAACAAGGTCATGGCCACCACAGAGCTCGGCCAGCTGACGAAGCAAGAAACAGCCAGTACTGCCGAAAACAGTCGTTTTAATTCACAGTGGAACCAGCGCAGCCACTCGCAGCCCAGACTTGTCCGAACAGGCAAGGTGACGCCGCACCTCCGCAGAGTACCAGTCATTCGTCAGGTTGCTGCCCTCCAGGCGTGGAATGCGTAGCGATTCCATTGCGTCGCCCGACCGTCTCTCGAGCACGAATTTATTTCATCATGAGTCTCGCGATTCTCGAAAATGGCGTTGTTCGACCAATAATAGGGCTAAGGGCAGCCGATTGGCTGTCATTAGACAAGACTTCGTATTGCAAGTTACCGTACAAAGTCAGTCCCATGTCAAACTCGTATGCATCCTGTTGGATGGAGTACAGTACTGTAAAACGACCACTTCTTTTCGTCTCTTTCTCCAATGATTAAATAATTCATCATTTACTATACAGTACAATAGATAAGCCTTTCCTTTACTACCCGAAGCTCGTGCTCGTTAAAGACGCATCTGCAAGACGTTCTTCACATGTTATTAGTGACTTGATGCTTCATCAACCCTTGAATGTTCTGTTCGCTACGCTCTACTGGCCAAAGACTTTAGATCCCATGGCTTGAGTTGAAAATACACAGCTAAGTCGTCGGACTTCTGCGGTCGGAGCCCGATCAGACCGCGCGAGAGAATTGCCGAATTGTCAGTAGACATCATTGGCTGGGAATGATCTGCTCTGCACCGCGCCGCAGGGATGTGCTGAAGTCTTGCGCACACATTGTACTTCTTCAAGGGGTAGCTGACGTCGAATAGCGAAGATAACACATGATATGGAGAGGTTCGCGGGACATTTAAGTGTGAAATATGAGTCGTCCGCTTTGACAGACAGCATCCGGGGTTTTGGGCTAATATTTGGCGAGCAAGGTGATTGGCAATCCTAACTCAATGTGGATGACAGTATCTTGTTCAGTATCGTACAGTACAGCACGGTACGGTCTTGACTGATAGGAGGAATCTGAACATATCCTAACCAACAGCTAGTCAAAGGCGTAATCCTCACTGACCACGTCCGTTTGGTATCAGTCGTCCGAAAATATCCTTCCCGATAGGAGCACAAGGTGCTTCTGTTCCCTTGCGTTTCATCGGTATGGGCAGTTGTTGCAGTCGAGCCGGTACCTGCGACTCAGATGGAAGCAACTTTTCAGAACTTTATTGTCTCTCACGAATTTTCACAAACAAAGCAGAAGAGGAAGATGCTGTCAGCAAACTGGAGCAATTCTCTTTATTTCCGAATCTGCCCCTCGAATTACGGCTTAGGATATGGGAGTTTGCGTTGCCCGACAGTTTCCTTATCGTTCGGACGTTCAACAACGACAGACTCAGTTACGCTCTGCGGCGTCGAGTGCCTACTATGCTTCAAGTGTGTAGAGAGACGAGACACGAATTCACTCGAACATCCCGACCGTCACATTACGAGCTTTTACAGCAGCGAAGCGGTGAAGAAGGATATATATACATAGATTGGTCAAGAGATGAAGTCTTTATTCCTCGAGGATGTACGTTCCGTTTTATTCTCTTGGGACATTGATGATAGGCCTAATTCTCGGCAGATTCTATTACCTCTTTTGAGTTTTCACAGCTTCAGAACCTACACCTTCTTAAAATGAGTTGGGGACTGCGTCCATGTTGGGTAGAAGGATCACTTAATGCAGGAGTGCGTTTTCTTAAACGCTTACCAAATCTCAAAACCGTTGTCCTGGTCGTCTCCTTTGGGCCATCTCAAGTGAGCAGTGCGAGGCAACAGCGCAAAATGGAAAACCGGGAGTTGAGAAGAATTGCTGCATTAGTTCTGAGCGAATTCCACTCCCAACACCGACGTGATACAACTTGGAAGACTCCCCAGCTCCGAGTCGTTCACTTCCGACAGTCTGGTCTTGAGGTTTCTTGGAATATTTAGTCACTCAAGAGGACCAATTCGAACAAAGCGGTGACGCGTTGTTTGCCTGCCAGGTCCGCTATACCCAGCAGACCTACAGATGAGCAGCAAGGTTGATTGGGTACCGCGGGCGGTCGCATGAGGTAGACACGTTCAGATTATGGTTAATAATGATTTGTCGGAGTATCTGCGAAGGGGTTCCCACAGATGAAGAAAGCTTGCATGGCGCAGCAGCGAAGGCCTCTTTACGGCTTGACGCGTGGGGTGATAAGTGATACCGAGGACAGCCACTTCGATCGGTAAACAAATGCACAAATGCCTTTCCTGCACCAAAAGCAGTTCAAGCATGTCCAAACTCTTCCTGCTGACTCATCTTTGCATGTATACGGGGTCGG